AGTATTATTGTAACTAAAGAACAGTATTGTTGTAACAAAATGAATAGTGCATGTTCATGAGGAGTCACTCAGAATATGATTTTGTTTTTAAAGAAAACAGTGATAAAACACATATTTTCATGTGTTCCTATTTATTTGGATGAATAAGCTCAAATGCAAATTTATCGGGACGATTAATGAAAATCTTCCCCTAAAGACCATACAAGACTTGGGTCTCTGGATTGACCTTGATAGCAACATACTGCATTTCGGTGAAAGGCTAAAGCACGCACATATTGACACTGTTAAAACCATAATTAAATCATGTGTTTCTGCAGGAGGTATGCTCGAGTGATTCCTTACACAGATCCTCTTCCAATCCCGCACGAACGAGTAGTACACCCTTTGCCATTTTGAGATCACAGGTGTGGACTTCACAGGTGACATTACCTTGTCCTGCACCAAGGATAAAATCTTTATTAAGTGTACATCTATCTGTTTACATGTGCAACTACTCTAGGAGTCCACCTTGAAGTGACTCCTGATAAGAGTTCAGAATCTTTTATCCAGGTCTTCTAGAGGTTTGCTGCACTCTGATCCTGCAGTTAGTTGATGATTTCGAACATTGGGGCCAACTTGGTGGCTGGTGAAGCAAACCAGAGGCACCACTACACTCAAAACAATAGATACGTTAGGTGCATGTTGAGTCCATAGTGGAGCAAAGCTCAAAGAGATCTCCAAAACCTGCGTCGCCAATACGGGACATCAGCCCAGTTCACATTGCCGCACAAAAAACATAATTACATAAGAACATAAGAATGAAGATAAATGCAGAAGGTCTATTGGCCCATATGAGGCAGCACCTATTTATATCCACCCAATCTCATTCATATATATATATATATATATATATATATATATATATATCTGTATATATATATATATATCTATATATATGTTTCATTGAATATGACCGCATATTCTGTGTTTAGGGCTTCTATCCCTCTAACTATTTTCTTCCACCTGCCCGCCCAATAGCCAGCAAGTCCACCGGCCCACCCACTAGATAGCCAGTCCACCTGTCCGTCCACTAGACAGCCAGTCCGCCTGCCCGCTCTCTAGCCAACCAGTCCACCTGCCATTCCACTAGCCAGTCAGTCCATCTGCCCGCCCACTAAAAAGCCAGTCCTCCTGCCCGCCGCTATTTAGCTAGTCCACCTGCCTGGTCACTGTCCAGCTAGTCCACTTGACCAGTGTTGTTGTAACATAAAGAACAGTGTTGTTGTAACATAAAGAACAGTGTTGTTGTAACATAAAGAACAGTGTTGTTGTAACATAAAGAAGTGTTGTTGTAACATAAAGAACAGTGTTGTTGAAACATAAAGAACAGTGTTGTTGTAACATAAAGAACAGTATTATTGTAACATAAAGAACAGTATTGTTGTAACAAAATGAATAGTGCATGTTCATGAGGGCCAGTTGTCCTCTGGCACCCTAAACCCTTGACCACACAGTCGTGCAGTTGTCCTCTGGCACCCTAAACCCTTGACCACACAGTCGTGCAGTTGTCCTCTGGCACCCTAAACCCTTGACCACACAGACGTGCAGTTGTCCTCTGGCACCCTAAACCCTTGACCACACAGACGTGCAGTTGTCCTCTGGCACCCTAAACCCTTGACCACATAGTCGTGCAGCAGTATAACCAAAACAGTTCATGTACCATAATGGTGCAGTGATTTCCGGCCTAAACTCCCTGACTAAATATATTTGCAGGTTTACATCCAAATCAAACATGTATACCAACTACTAACTGGTTCATCATTGACGGTCACCATTAACCACCACCACTGATTCATCATTGACGGTCACCATTAACCACCACCACTAGTTCATCATTGACGGTCACCATTAACCACCACCACTGGTTCAACAGTGACGGTCACCATTAACCACCACCACTGGTTCAACAGTGACGGTCACCATTAACCACCACCACTGGTTCAACAGTGACGGTCACCATTAACCACCATCACTGGTTCAACAGTGACGGTCACCATTAACCACACAAGTGGTTTAAAAAAAAGTCAATATTAACCACCTTTACTAATTCAACAGTGACGACGGTCTCAGTTAACAACACCACTTGTTCAACAGTGAAGGTCTCAGTTAACCACTAGTTCAACAGTGAAGGTCTCAGTTAACCACTAGTTCAACAGTGAAGGTCTCAGTTAACCACTAGTTCAACAGTGAAGGTCTCAGTTAACAGTACCACTTGTTCAACAGTGAAGGTCTCAGTTAACCACTAGTTCAACAGTGAAGGTCTCAGTTAACAGTACCACTTGTTCAACAGTTACTGTGTCCATTAAACAGTAAATTCTGTATTGTCCTGTAACCTCGAAGGGCCATTAACAGCTTTCCTCACATTAGCTTACTAGCAAAGCTCGCACGGCTTGACATACAAGGAAAATTACTTTCACGGTTAAATTCTCCAGCCAGTTCTCCTGGTTGTTGGACTGATCAACCAGACTGTTGGACGCGGCTGCTCGCAGCCTGCCGGATGACTCACAGCCTAGCTGATCCGTTATGATCACAGATAAATATCACAAATCAATGATCCATCTTTACAAATAAAACTTGAAAGGTCTACATACACGGGGACTTCTTCGATAACATACCAGTCACAACGGATGACCACAAGGTTCCATTCTAAGTCCACTGTTCTTCGTTGCCTTTGTACCTGATACATCAAACTGATATATCAATTTGGTATCGTTCCCGTTCCCCGTTCACCTCTCGGTATACGTGAATGAGCTGACATTGTACTACTCTGATAATAGTTAACCTAGCGCAGTACCCACAATTTTCCGCAGAAATCTTCAGTCGCAGTTTCAAATGTAGATATGATAGAGCCCAATAGGCTCAGGAATCTATAGAGCAGTTGAAGGGCGGGACCACAGAGCCAAAGCTCAATCCCTGCAAGCACAACCAGGTGAGTACAATGCAAAAAGCACTCAACCTCCTCACTGATATACCCGTCAATGGGGAAACAAATTATCACAAATAAAATCTGTTTCCAAATTTGCACCAACAAAAGAATTCTTCAAATGGTCACCCTAATGATAAATAACGCTCCATCTCGTACGAGAAGATAAATACCTTGACATACCACGACTCTCCACTTATTACCCGGAAAATTCTCATAAAACATCTAAAACAAACTTCCAAACCAATCGTTACAGCCCTCACTGGCACTATCTGCGGAGCTCACCACATAATACTGATCAGTTTCTACACAACTTGCAGCCGACTCGACTACTGTTGCCAGGCATTTGCATCTTTAGCGGCAACTAACCTCCAGAGCCTTAAAGTAAAGCAAAGTTGTATCACGCGAATCATTGGTGGTGCACTGCGTTCATCCCTTGTCTTAGGCCTCCCAGGAGACACGGGCCTCATTAAGTCCGGCCACCAGAAGAGACACCATGTGTGCTATCTGTCGCTCTGCATCACTGAACACAACACATCCATACTGCTAAAAGATTAACCCATTCAGTCCCCTCGTTTACCCACCAGCCTCCCTCGCTAACCTACCAGCCACTTCACTTATCCACCAGCCATTCACAGCTATTTCTAGCACGGGTCGGAAATAACCTTATTTCAGACCTATCTTCCAAAGCTACGAGACCCAGCTTGATGTTCGCTCCATACCACCTTCTCTGGCATTACGGAACACAAAACATCATCACAGAAGACAACATACCAAAATCACCTCCAAAATCACCCATATTATCACCCTTCGCACCATAATGATAAACTGCTACTCAAAATCCATCGCAATTTACACATATGAATCTCGCATCTATCAGTGAATTCTGTCACCAGCGCTGTGTGTATCCCGTATTACCACCTCAAGCAGAGGTGGCAGCTACCCATAAATAGTCACACAGAATTTATGCTCTGTACCAAACTCTTCAAGTAAGAACACTACAAGTTGATAAATATTTCATCCGTAACGACTCAAAAAGTGCGACTCAGGCCATAACATAATGCACCAAAACACGCGCAGAGGTTGTCCATCCACGCCTACAGCTTCTGCATGAACACCATGCAATGGGAAGTGACATGTCCATCCAATGGGTCCCGACTCACTGTTAAATACTTACTTCACAAAGAACTCATAGATCAATTAGCAAAAGCGATGCACGATGCAGCTTGGATTATATATCATCTAATTCCATATTGAACGAAATGGAGCCTTAAAATCCATCACCCAAAACTTTACAGTGAAATAAACACATCATGCTCATCGTTGTATTATGATCTGGGAAACTTGGAATTACGCCAGGCATAAAACCAGAGAACTAGATATAACGATGACCAGACTGACGCTGGGACACACCAAACTAACAACACACAGTTTAAACACAGGACAAACATATATGAATATTGCATCCATTGTTTGGAATTATTCCAATGGCAATTGAACAATACTTTCTTCACTGTTTCATACATCATAGTGCCAGAATTGGCTCCATACAAGTACTTATCACCTTGAAAGCACATATTAGGGGGAGGAGACTTCTTATAGGTTCCAGTCAACTCATCAAAGTTAGGCCATATTTAAATCATATAACTTACATCATCGGGCCAATCATACATAGAAAGCGTCACCCTAGCAACAAAGAACAGCAATGCTCACGACCTGAATGATCCGCTGACGTCTTCAACACAACATCAAACCCTCTCTGCCCACTATCAAAGTTTAACCCTAAAATACAACATTCAAACTCTTCCAAATTATTACAATGACGTGCCACTGTGTCGTGTCTCCCAACATTACTACTCGTGCAGTCATCATCGGCAGAAAACCTTCATACAAACTAAACGTACCATACGAAAAGTAGGATTCACAAAAGCTTTAGCAGGATAACAGCTCTTGGCATGTAGTTTCATTAGGAATATCATCAAAATTTTTAATGAACCATAGTACATTAGGATGCATAAATACTAAAACACGTATTTACCTGTTATTTTAATGAAGATGCAATACACTGGAGTATTTAGAAGGACTTTGCTGGCTGTGTCACACGGTAAACCACAACAGTTGAACGACACAAACACACAATAAATGGCGACCAGTCAAGCCTGCGCCGCACCCGTACTGTGACTGAGGCCGTGTAAGACCGGAGGAGGATGTTTGGCTAGGGACCAGATCCTGAACTCTGACGCGAATAAACTACGAACACTGACACACTTGCTGCCCGGCAAACAATTTAAAAAAATGGTAAATATATATCTATTCGTCGTACTATAAGAAAAACTAAAGAACTTAAGCAATATAAAGTAAAACTAAGGGGAAACATGTTCCATTGTAATTTAACTTCCTAAGAAGGGTCATTGTACAATTTATATTCATATGCAGAATATTATAAGATAATTAACAGAAAATGTACTTTTATTTATGTTCTGAGACAATATCTAGACAGGACGTTAATGATAAGCCGCCGCGTTATGCCAACACCACAGAGGATATCACAGTCCCTCCCGCCACCCTGGACGATCCAAAGGACCCCAAGTGACGCCAATGACTCCTTAATGATTCACACGACGGCGCCCTGGTGTGTGTCACGATACATTTTCCCGGTACGTCACTTGTGTCTCTGTGTGTTTCTGAACAGTGCCTCGGTGCATCACAAGACAGTCCCTCGGTGCATCACAGGACAGTGCCTCGGTGCACCACAGGACAGTGCCTCGGTGCATCACAGGACAGTCCCTCGGTGCATCACAAGACAGTCCCTCGGTGCATCATAGGACAGTCCCTCGGTGCATTATAGGACAGTCCCTCGCTGCATCACAGGACAGTGTCTAGGTCCATCACAGGACAGTGTCTAGGTGCATCGCACGACAGTGTCTAGGTGCATCACAGGACAGTGTCTAGGTGCATTGCACGACAGTGTCTAGGTGCATCACAAGACAGTGTCTAGGTGCATCACAGGACAGTGTCTAGGTGCATCACAGGACAGTGACTCGGTGCATCACAAGACAGTGTCTAGGTGCATCACAGGACAGTGTCTAGGTCCATCAAAGGACAGTGTCTAGGTGCACCACAGGACAGTTTCTAGGTGCACCACTGGACAGTGTCTAGGTGAATTACAGGACAGTGACTCGGTGCATCACAAGACAGTGTCTAGGTGCATCACAGGACAGTGTCTAGGTCCATCAAAGGACAGTGTCTAGGTGCATCACAGGACAGTGACTCGGTGCATCACAGGACAGTCCCTCGGTGCATCATAGGACAGTCCCTCGGTGCATCATAGGACAGTCTCTCGGTGCATCACAGGACAGTGCCTCGGTGCATCATAGGACAGTCTTTCGGTGCATCACAGGACAGTGCTTTGGTGGACCACAGGACAGTGTCTAGGTACATCACAGGACAGTGTCTAGGTGCATCGCAGGACAGTGCCTCGGTGCATCACAGGACAGTCCCTCGGTGCATCATAGGACAGTCCCTCGGTGCATCACAGGACAGTCCCTCGGTGCATCACAAGACAGTCCCTCGGTGCATCACAGGACAGTCCCTCGGTGCATCATAGGACAGTCCCTCGCTGCATCACAGGACAGTCCCTCGGTGCATCACAGGACAGTCCCTCGGTGCATCACAGGACAGTGCCTCGGTGCATGCCACGGTGTATCACAGGACAGTGCCACGGTGCATCACAGGACAGTGCCACGGTGCATCACAGGACAGTGCCACGGTGCATCACAGGACAGTGCCTCGGTGCATCACAAGACAGTGTCTAGGTCCATCAAAGGACAGTGTCTAGGTGCACCACAGGACAGTGTCACGGTGCATCACAGGACAGTCCCTCGGTGTATCACAGGACAGTGCCACGGTGTATCACAGGACAGTGCCACGGTGCATCACAGGACAGTGCCTCGGTGCATCGCAGGACAGTGCCACGGTGCATCACAGGACAGTGCCACGGTGCATCACAGGACAGTGCCTCGGTGCATCACAGGACAGTGCCTCAGTGCATCACAGGACAGTGCCTCAGTGCATCACAGGACAGTGCCACGGTGCATTACAGGACAGTGCCACGGTGTATCACAGGACAGTGCCTCAGTGCATTACAGGACAGTCCCTCGGTGTATCACAGGACAGTGCCACGGTGCATTACAGGACAGTGCCACGGGGCATCACAGGACAGTGCCACGGTGCATCGCAGGACAGTGCCACGGTGCATCACAGGACAGTCCCTCAGTGCATCACAGGACAGTGCCTCAGTGCATCGCAGGACAGTCCCTCAGTGCATCACAGGACAGTGCCACGGTGCATCACAGGACAGTGCCTCGGTGCATCACAGGACAGTGCCACGGTGCATCACAGGACAGTGCCACGGTGCATCACAGGACAGTGCCACGGTGCATCACAGGACAGTGCCACGGTGCATCACAGGACAGTGCCACGGTGCATCACAGGACAGTGCCACGGTGCATCACAGGACAGTGCCACGGTGCGTCACAGGACAGTGCCACGGTGCATCACAGGACAGTCCCTCAGTGCATCACAGGACAGTGCCACGGTGCATCACAGGACAGTGCCACGGTGCATCACAGGACAGTGCCACGGTGCATCACAGGACAGTGCCACGGTGCATCACAGGACAGTGCCACGGTGCATCACAGGACAGTGCCACGGTGCATCACAGGACAGTGCCACGGTGCATCACAGGACAGTGCCACGGTGCATCACAGGACAGTGCCACGGTGCATCACAGGACAGTGCCACGGTGCACCACAGGACAGTGCCACGGTGCATCACAGGACAGTCCCTCAGTGCATCACAGGACAGTGCCACGGTGCATCACAGGACAGTGCCTCGGTGCGTCACAGGACAGTGCCTCGGTGCGTCACAGGACAGTCCCTCAGTGCATCACAGGACAGTGCCACGGTGCATCACAGGACAGTGCCACGGTGCATCACAGGACAGTGCCACGGTGCATCACAGGACAGTGCCACGGTGCGTCACAGGACAGTGCCACGGTGCATCACAGGACAGTCCCTCAGTGCATCACAGGACAGTGCCACGGTGCATCACAGGACAGTGCCACGGTGCATCACAGGACAGTGCCACGGTGCATCACAGGACAGTGCCACGGTGCATCACAGGACAGTGCCACGGTGCATCACAGGACAGTGCCACGGTGCATCACAGGACAGTGCCTCGGTGCGTCACAGGACAGTGCCACGGTGCGTCACAGGACAGTGCCACGGTGCATCACAGGACAGTGCCACGGTGCATCACAGGACAGTGCCACGGTGCATCACAGGACAGTCCCTCAGTGCATCACAGGACAGTGCCACGGTGCACCACAGGACAGTGCCTCGGTGCATCACAGGACAGTCCCTCAGTGCATCACAGGACAGTGCCACGGTGCATCACAGGACAGTGCCTCGGTGCATCACAGGACAGTCCCTCAGTGCATCACAGGACAGTGCCACGGTGCATCACAGGACAGTCCCTCGGTGCATCACAGGACAGTGCCACGGTGCATCACAGGACAGTGCCACGGTGCATCGTAGGACAGTCCCTCGGTGCATCACAGGACAGTCCCTCAGTGCATCGCAGGACAGTCCCTCAGTGCATCACAGGACAGTGCCACAGTGCATCGCAGGACAGTCCCTCAGTGCATCACAGGACAGTGCCACGGTGCGTCACAGGACAGCCCCACAATGCATCGCAGGACAGTGCCACAGTGCATCGCAGGACAGTGCCACAGTGCATCGCAGGACAGTCCCTCAGTGCATCACAGGACAGTGCCACAGTGCATCGCAGGACAGTCCCTCAGTGCATCACAGGACAGTGCCACGGTGCATTACAGGACAGTGCCACGGTGCATCACAGGACAGTGCCACGGTGCATCACAGGACAGTGCCACGGTGCATCACAGGACAGTGCCACGGTGCATCACAGGACAGTGCCACGGTGCATCACAGGACAGTGCCACGGTGCATCACAGGACAGTGCCACGGTGCATCACAGGACAGTGCCACGGTGCATCACAGGACAGTGCCACGGTGCATCACAGGACAGTCCCTCGGTGCATCACAGGACAGTGCCACGGTGCATCACAGGACAGTGCCACGGTGCATCACAGGACAGTCCCTCGGTGCATCACAGGACAGTGCCACGGTGCATCACAGGACAGTGCCACGGTGCATCACAGGACAGTCCCTCGGTGCATCACAGGACAGTCCCTCGGTGCATCACAGGACAGTGCCTCGGTGCATCACAGGACAGTGCCACGGTGCATCACAGGACAGTGCCACGGTGCGTCACAGGACATCGCCTCGCAGCTGAAGGGAAAGCGCTCTGGGTTCATTGTTCTATGGGCCCGGTTTCGATTCCCGCCCGATGCAGAAACAAACGGGTAATTGTTTCATTCACCCTGATGATCTTGTCCAACTAGTAGAAAATAGGTATCTGGGACATAGATAACTGCTACGGGCTGCTTCATGGGGATGCATGTATGTTAGAGAGAAAACATATGTAGTAGACATAATAGAGGAAAAATAGATTGGTTAGAAATGCAGTGTCTAAGAGCTATCTCGATTCTGCAAGCACAGTAGTAAATTTTTTTTTACGCATTGAAATGACTTGATCTCGCGATCTGGTGATTCCCCGGATGTCTGCCTTAACCTCCCGGCCACGGTAGTACAAAAGGTGACCAAGACCTCTGCTGAGTTCTTTAGGAAGTTCTTGACGTCTGAAACCGGGCCCCAACAAGGGTTTTCTAGCCAACCTGAACCCTCGGAGCTACGGTAATGGCGTTCACACTCTTATGCCACAGTCAGATCGCAATGAAATCAGTAGAGTTCTGGGTTGATCAACTCGGCAACGTGGCCGAGCGGGTAAGGCATGTGTCTGGAATCACGAGGTTCCGAAGTGATTTACATGGTTATATTCTGCTGAGTTTCCTTGGCCACATCTATTAGACTTTTTCTGTTCAACAATTCGGGTTGTTAGATCGTTGCCTGTTTGGCCATAAAAAAATTAATTGCAATCTTTACTAGGAATTTTAGAGTCAGCTTTATATTTTCTCTGATAAACATTTACTAATTTTTTACTGACTTTATTTGAGTAAAACTGAAAATTAATTTAGTTTCATCCATTTTCATTAAATTCTTACCGGTGTGCTCTATGTTAGAACTATATGGAATGACCAAGCAGTTCCTAGAAGCGATCTCCTATTGTTAGTGGTGTTTCTGCTTCAAATTTGCTTCAGCAACTTTTAAAGCTTTTCTCAGGAACCAATTCAACTTTACTCGTTACAGTGGGGAGCCGGTCGGCCGAGCGGACAGCACCCTGGACTTGTGATCCTGTGGTCCTGGGTTCGATCCCAGGCGCCGGCGAGAAACAATGGGCAGAGTTTCTTTCACCCTATGCCCCTGTTACCTAGCAGTAAAATAGGTTCCTGGGTGTTAGTCAGCTGTCACGGGCTGCTTCCTGGGGGTGGAGGCCTGGTCGAGGACCGGGCCACGGGGACACTAAAATGCCCCGAAATCATCTCAAGATAACCATCCTACACTTTTTTTGTTGATTGTATAGTTTTTATTGATTTCAGTGTGTAACCACTGAGGACTGTAGATTCGCAATGATCTTAAGAAAAGACCTCATGTCCTTTTTCTTAGCGTTTTTTCCTTACCTTTCCTCTTTCATTCCTCCTATTCTTACCTCATCCCACATAGGGGATGATATATAAAAAGACGCGCCTATTCGAATGCAACGTTGTGTCAAAATTTCAAAGCAAACGGTAAAGAGATTTCGAAGATTTCCCCTCACATGAAAAACACAGTTTTACAGAAAAAAACATGTTTTTTTCCGTCACAGACGTGATATCTATATAGTATGTATATAAAAACCTGCTTGGATGCGAATGGAACGTTGTGTGAAAATTTCAAAGCAATCGATGAAGAACTTTCGGAGATGAGCGATTTTGAACAAACGAACATTTCCATTTTTATTTTATAGATATTTCTCAGCAAGAAGTGGCTATAGATTTACTACCTATCTGCCTATATAATTTGTTTTACTACGCCACCCTTTATCAACAATGTGATATAAAAGGCTTCAAGTTTGAAGCTTGCACTTGTTGTGTCGTTTCTTGGTGGTGTGCGAGACTGCCCTGATGGCGACACTTCTATAATAATAATAATAATAATAATAATAATAATAATTTATTTAGGAAAAGTACATATATAGTTGCAGAGTTACAGTACAAATATTCTGTTTGATTTAAAGACAGAGGTAGAACATACAATACCTAAAGCCACTAGTACGCATAGCGTTTCGGGCAATGTCACGCCCAGATAGTATGCGTGAGGCGGGTATATGGTGCCCGCTCTCCATTATACTTGTGATATATACTCAGCATATCCTAATTTATCCGAATTGACAGCTAACTACACAAAATATTATTTATCTTAAACTATTATTTTTTTTAACTGGTGGTAATTTATTTATTTATCTACTCAGATAAGGAACCAGTATTGTCGCCTCTCTGTTCAGTGTGGCGCCGTATGACGTTGGATTTCGCTGATGTAGCAGTCTGTCTGTTCTCGAGAACCACATGACTTGGGTTTAAAAGTAGCTAGACATGGACCATGTGTTCCATTGTTCTATTATACACCACTAGACCATGGCTAACTAATGTGTGCTATATTCTAACTTAGCATAAATGAATATTTTTCTCCAACATCAACTCACCTTCGCCTGTCTGACATCACCCCACCTTTTCCTCCCTAACATCACCCCACCTTTGTCTCCCTAACATCACCCCACCTTTGCCTCCCTAACATCACCCCACCTTTGCCTACTTAATATCACCCTACCTTTCCTCCCAGACATTACCCCACCTTTTCCTCCCTAACATCACCCCACCTTTGTCTCCCTAACATCACCCCACCTTTGCCTCCCTAACATCACCCCACCTTTGCCTCCCTAACATCACCCCACCTTTGCCTCCCTAACATCACCCCACCTTTGCCTCCCTAACATCACCCCACCTTTGCCTCCATAACATCACCCTACCTTTTCCTCCCAAACATCACCCCACCTTTTCCTATCTGATATTACCACACCGTCGCCTCCCTGATAACAAATAATATAACAATTTTAAATAATTACAAAATCCTAGTTGGTGACAACATTAAACACGTCAGGGAAATAGTAATACGAAAACTTTGGTAATTTTTTGTGTAAATATGAATCCAAAGTTAATAGTGATATGCTCTGTGATATGTTTACGTAAAATTTAGTAAAAATCTGACCGAAGGTATTGATAAAGGTCTAACAGGTAAACTTAGTCTTTATCAATAAAGTTGACCCTCAACTTGGGTCAACTCTATCTGAAGTTGACCACTGTAATCTTGTTTGTTGTCAGTATTTTACGGTCTCCGAACAATAAAATAATTTTAAATATATAATAAAACTCTATAACTTAAAGAGTACTTTAGAAATTGAAGTTTTTAGGATAATTATAATAATTAAAGGAATTTTATATTTTTTATTTTAGGCGGATGAAAACAAGAGTATATTTACAAGTTATTAGATAACTTGATGAATGTAATTAGCAAATGTATACAATATTATTAATACCAGATATATAAAAAAATAGTAAAATTATATATTTGTTTTGTATAATGTTATATATAAAGAAATAGTTTCAAGTGTAAATAACATTGGCAGTAACAGTATTGAGAGCAATAGCAGTTACAAATCTTAATGTTACTTATGTTCTATTACAGGTTAAAGCCAAATAAAAAAAAATTACATAACTTATGATCTATTAGAGGTTAAGGCCAATATTAGAATAGTTTATATAATACCAATTGTCTACTTGAGTGGGTGTCCGGTCCTGTTCTTGTTATCACAGACCATCTTCACTACTCACTATCTCCATCATTATAACCATTTTCACTACACACTATCCTCATCATTGAAACTATCTTCACTACTCACTATCTTCTTCACTGTAACTATCTGTGGGGAACCGACTCGTGAGATTTATATTTATTTAATTTATATAGAATTTATGTTATGTTAATTTATGTATTTCGATAGCAATTTGAATGATGTTTAGCGGACTGTATTTCTGCAATATTCTTACAAATCGACATCTTGCACATTAGGGGGGTTTATATTAAATTTATATATATGCAGCCAATCAAACAACAGCATTAAACTACATATATTAGTAATAATAATTGAGGTTCCTTATCTTATTGTATGGTAGTCTTAGTCCACCAGGTATAAACATGAATGATGACACCAAATAGTCCTCGTAGTTGAGAGACTAACATCCAACACCAACGTAACTGATGTACCAAGATTAATTCTTGCTTCCTCTTCTACACCTGTTAAAAGGACACTTGCTGTAAATCAGGAATCCTATATATATGACAGCTATATCAGAGAAAATGCTGTAAATTATATCAGTTATGGACCAAGGAATAATTACCTGGGTTTAGTCTCCTGCTAATGTTCTAACCGGAATTAAATCTATCTACCTAACATTTCTGGCCAGGAATGAGTAAGATAAGACTTCGGAGAGACACTTCCCTTGTTTAGATGTTGACTGCTTGTTGATAATGGTAGAACCACTAATTTGATCTCCATATCACTTCGTCCAAGGGAGAATTATAGGAGTTGAACTTGCTCCTGTGACTCGGTCTAACAATGGCTGACCTCTCTCCACCTACACCCTGGCTCTTTGTCCAGATGTTAATATGTGGTAGAATGGTCATATTTACTTTATTTTCGTACTGATAATTAAGTTGATTCAAATGAGATATTTTTATGATGTTAAAAGTTCAAAGATTGATGTATTAAGAATAATTCCCAACAGAATAGCTGGTAAATTTATGTGACAATTCACTATATAATATCTTCACCACAGTAACCATCTTCAATTCACACTATCTTCCTCACTGTAACCACATTCACTACACACCATCTTCTTCACTACACACTATCTTCTTCACCAGACACTATCTTCCTCACCACGCACTATCTTCATCATTGTAACCATCTTCTTCACTACACACTATCTTCATCACTGTAACCATCTTCGCTACTCTCTATCTTCATCACGGTTACCATCTTCTTCACTATACACTATCTTCACCACACACTATCTTCCTCACCACGCACTATCTTCATCATTGTAGCCATCTTCACTACACACTATCTTCATCACTGTAACCATCTTCTTCACGTCACACTATCATCATCACTGTAACCATCTTCATTACATACTATCTTCATCACTGTAGCCATCTTCACTACTCACTATCTTCATCACTGTAACCCTCTTTACTACGCACTATCTTCATCACTTTAACCATCTTCGCTACTCTCTATCGTCATCACGGTTACCATCTTCTTCACTATACACTATCTTCTTCACCACACACTATCTTCTTTGTACTCACTATCTTCATCATTATAACCATTTTCACTACACACTATCCTCATCACTGTAACCATCTTCACTACTCACTATCTTCATCACTGTAACCATCTTCACTACACACTATCTTCATCATTGTAACCTTTTTCACTGCACACTACAACAATGTAACCATCTCGAATTTACACAATCCTAATCACTGTAACTATCATCTCTGCACACTATTCGTATCACTGTAACTATCGTATCTGCCCAAACTCCTAATCACTGTAACTATAACCTCTACAAACTATCCTCATTAAAGTATCCCCAAAACACGTTTTAATATACTCAAACATGCGTGTTGGGAACCCATCAAAGTTGAATGAAATTATTTTAAAATCATTTGTAATGTTCTCAATTTTGATTTTGTTAAGTCCTGGTTTTCCAATATTTCCATGATCTGAAGATGAATCCAACAGGTCAATATTCCCATGGTCTGAAGATCACTCCAACTGGCCAATATTCTCATGGTCTGAAGTTCCAACGTTCACACCAACAGGCCAAAATTCCCATGGTCTTAACTTCACACCAACTAGTAAATATTCCCATGGTCTGAAGTTCTCACCAACAGGCTAATATTCCCATGGACTGAACTTCACACCAACAGGCCAATATTCCCATGTGTCAGAAGTTCATACCAATATGCCAATATTCCTATGGTCAGACGTTCACACCAATAGACCAATATTCCCATGGTCAGAAGTTCACACCAATAGGCCTAAAACTGTCAGACAGCTCAATATCTTTGATCTGTTTCTGTACACCAATCTTATGAGCTATGCCCTTTTTATTTAAAAAATCTTATTTATCGAGACTTCATTGACACCATCTGACTCCATATGGAGTCATATGGTGTCATATGACTACATCGACACTATGTGTATTTCTTAGGGTTACTGGAGTCACATGCCTTGAGGCGATAAACTCTGGTTGGAGGAAGTTTTCCACGTTGCAAACCACTAATATGAACAACATTGTTCTTGGCAAAGGGTGTCTGTGCTGACTTTGCGTCTTACTTCAGTGACACAGCTAACTCGGAAGCCATATTTTCAATCTTTCTTTTACGTTTCCTTCGATTCTGAACTGGTTACCAGGAATTCGGACAGACGTCTGAATCATTGAAGCCTTCCGATGTACTGCTCACCGACTCAAAGTCATCCGGGAGGGCTTGTAACCCAGGTGATGTGTAGAGAGGAGGGGCGTTCGGTTGAGTAGGTGAGAGGGGCGGTGGCAGGGGGGAGGAGGTTGAGTATGGTTTGTACTCCAGGATTTTCTTTCATACTAGTTTCATTATATACGCTGGCTATTGGAGTGTTTTGATGGTCAAGTCTAATTAAGTTTTTCAGTGTTGGGCTGGTTACTGGCATAGAAACATCATGATTGTTGGCTGAGTCTAGAGACACACTGAAGAAGATTCCTTAAGTGAATCTGTGGTGTTCAGAAGCCTGCTGCATTTATGTGTTCCGGAAAGTTTTTTTACCTCTTCAGTGAGGCACGAGGAAGCAGCTTGCAGGGCATTCTCACTCTTTTGAAGCGTCATTAATTTAGTCATTATCATATCAACAGTAGTACCATGGTCACAATCAGTTCTTTCCAAGGCCTTAACTCGTTCACTTATATCTGATGTCAACCTGTCCTCTTAAAAAGAACGTCGCTTCTGGCCGTTTACCCGTATGGCCGAATTTGGTCGTAATTTGAAATTGAAAAAAAATGAAAATATATTTGGGATTTTTTTTTTCAACAACAGTAAGTTAAGGGTCCTCTGATAGGTTAGGTGGGCAGGAAATTCTCATAAAGTTTCAAAACGTTATGAAAAACGTTAATTTAAAGTGTCCTCTTATAACCTCTGCGCGTACGCCGGACGACTCAAATAGAAAAGGGAACAGAACGTCACTTTTGTGAGTCGATTTCATTTCAAATTACGTCCAAATTTGGCCATAGTGCGCATACGGGCCAAAAGTGATGTTCTTTTTAAGAGGACGGGTTGCTGAAGTAGCTTGGGTGTGGTCATTTCGAGAAGAATGAAAGCCAGCCAGAGTTTGTTCATCTATCTCGTCATAGACATGCTCAAGGACTGACTGGCGTGGCCTTGGTAGAGGCTCCAGGTACAAGTCTGATTGGTGGGACCCTGGAAGAGGCTCCAGGTATAAGGCTGACTGGGGAGACCATGGAAGAGGCTCCAGGTATAAGGCTGACTGGGGAGACCGTGGAAGAGGCTCCAGGTACAAGTCTGACTCTCGGTGTTCCGGGTGACTCTGTAAGATAAGAAGCTGAAGATGTATTATTTAACATCCACTTTGGTACATATATTTATTTATGGATCTTTCATGTAAACCTCATAATTTAACTGTAATGTGACATTTGTCAAGAATAAGAGTGTAAGAGTGTGTAGTGACGCATGTTCAGGGCAATGAGTGTTAAGTATTTGCTGGACATATATATATATATAGGAAAATGGGGGAAAGTACTGTGGTGAACTTGACCTCTCTGCAAGAGATGATGTGCAGCTTCCTGCTAGGATTCACCTCTCTGTATTTTAATGATATAATCCAGCTGGAAGAGAAGCGAACGTGCGCTCCACTGGCGTTTTTTACAAAAACAACAATGACGTCATCGGGTAGAGGTTACATGACTTACTATTAACAATGCTAATAAAGCAAAAGAGCATCTGCTCGAAACCTTATGAACCAAACCTATGTAGTACTTCATCCTACAAAATACTTTAATCCTAACATTCTACCCGTTTTAATTAAACCCCTACATGCTTAAGTCTATCAGGCTGTCATACGATTATTCCTGATTTTCTCTACTGGGGCTCCAGGCCTATTTCTTCTGGGGAAACTTCTTCTGAATTACTAACTGCAGAGTCTCTAGGGTTAGCTGTATCCACATTCCCCTCTGTTGACCCTTGCTCTGCCTCCCTGCCTCCTGCAGGTGCTACTCCTTCATTATTAATTTTGTATTACTAGGTACCCCATCCCCATCTAAAGGGACTTCAAAATTCCCCTGTCAACCTTGGCATGAGTTAATCTGCATGTCTTTTCTAATTAATATTCCCAAAGCTCTGCACTTGCACGGTGAAATTCCTGCTACCCAAGACTTCCATAATTTTCCCTTCTACCCAAGGCTTACCCATTCCAAAATGTCTTGCATATACTGCATCGTCCCTCTTTAAACAAAACTTCGTCTCCTTGAGCCACCTGATTGGCCAAGCTAGTTAGAGATTTGTCTTTATCTGAATCTGTCTTTACTGTTTCCATGTACACTTTGAAGTGTCTATTAAACAGTAATTCAGAAGGATATTTACCAGCGGTAGAATGAACAGTGTTTCTTTGATTATATAAAAATCTACAAAGCCTTGTATTAATAGTACCTTCTGTAACCCGCTGTAACCCTTCTTTTAAGGATCCCACTGCTATATCAGCCAGACCATTTGAAGAAGGATTATAGAGGGTAGGTGTTACATGTTTAATACTATTCTTTTTAGAAAAAATCATCCATTTTCCCAGAAACAAAATAAGGAGCATTATCTGACATCAATATGCCTGGCAATCCAAAATTACAAAATGTTTTCCTGAGCAGTTCACAAGTTTAATTAATTATCTGTGGAATTACACACATGAACATCCATTAATTTTGTATGTGAACCCACAATCACCAGATAATTTTTTTCATCCATAGGTCCAGCATAATCTATTTGAAGTCTAGACCAGGGTTTCCCAGTGAATGACTGGGAAAGGAAAGAAAGTACTGGGGCCTGGGGTTTATGGTAATTATTACAGCAAATGTGAATATTCTTAGTAACTTTAGCAATATCCTGGTCCATTTTGGGGCACCAAAGCCAACTTCTATCTTCTAGCTTTCATAGCATTTATGCCGTTATGGCCTAAATGCAGTTCTTCCAAAATCTTACATCTCTGTTCCACAGGAACCATTACTTTATCACAGCTCAAGAGTAAATCCTGGTGAGTATTAAGGTCAGCCTCTTCTGCTGCATACTCTGACAATTATAAATTCATTTCAACCATATATGACATACTTCATCAACATATTTAATTTGGGAGCTCCACTAGTTGCCCGCCTAATAGTCATTTTGATCATCAAAAGACATAGATTCCACCAGGTTGACATATTACACTGGAATACTGAAATTCAACTCTTCTGTAACAGACAAGCTATTTAATGCATCAGCCACTACATTATCCTTGTCTGACTTAAATTCCAAATCATACTTAAACTGTGAAAGTAGCAATGCCCATCGTTTATTTTTAGCATTGGCGTTACCTGGAATTTGTTTACCTCTGCCAAACAATCCTAGCAGGGATTTATGGCCTGTTCTAGCAAGAAATTTGTTACCCAGCTGAAAATACCTCAGCTAATTTACGGCATATACCAACGCAAAGGCTTTTCTGTCTAATAGGGAATAATTCTGTTCCGCAGGAGATAAATTCTTGCTAGCAAAATAGACTGTCTTTCCCTGTTCATCTACTTCCTTTAATAACACAAAGCCCACCCTCACTGGGAAAACATCTACCTCCAGCTTTAAGAGCGTTTACCAGTAAAATTTGTGAGCACTGGAGAATTTACCTATTCTTGCTTAATATTCTTGAAGGCCTTATCCTCTCTTGCTGCCCACCTTAGTCTAGTCTCTTTTTTAACAAATTCATACAAGGGAGTTAATTTTGTTGAAATGTTCTTCACAAACTAACAAAAATATGTTACCATCCCTACTATAGACTGTACTTTTCCCACTGATGTTGGAGCTGGGGCGTCCACTATAGCGGCAACATTTTTGTGAAAAAGAGTAAAGACCTTACCCCGAAATATGGTACCTTATCTTTATACAACAATAAAACCAAAAGAAACACTACCCATCAATAAAACCAGTAGAAACACAACCCAACAATAAAACCAGTTGAAACAGAACTCGTCAATAAAACCAGTAGAAACACAATCCATCAATGAAACCAGTAGAAACACAACCCAACAATAAAACCAGTAGAAACACAACCCATCAATAAAACCAGTGTTATGGACCCAAGTCTATCGTCGTAGTATGGAGTAGTGACGACAACGCCATCTGTGAGTCAGCTCCCGAAACCCCCTCCTAATGGACGAAGCCATCTAGTGAGAACGGGATATACCGGCCACAGGTGCTGGATTCCCGTCTTAATCAGCTCGTAACATAGCAGCTACTGACCTCTGGTGAGGTGGCGCTTAGACAGCAACGCCATCTATGGAGTGGATAGGTGGACGTTTGTGTCTAAGCCTGTAAGTGAGGCTCACTAGCCCCAGTACTAATGACGTGTCTGATTACAGAGTCGACCTGGGACTGCTGTATTGGACGATGGGGCAGTCTACCCAAGGTCTCTTCATGAGTTTGCTCTGCAGAAGCTGTGAGTCACCCCCGGACGAACACTGTTGAGAGTGTTAGCCTGCCTGTGACGTGGCAGTACCAGGAATCTTCCTATCCGGGGCTGGCTGCTGGAAGAGACTAGCCACTGTGGTGCTGAGAGAGGAGAGTTATCAGCGGAATCACACGAGGCTCCTGCCTAGGGCTCGCAACCCTAGTATTGGTCGTGGAGTGGCCTACACAGCGGAGCTGATCGGAACCTGCCAGCTACAGGCTGGATTTGTGGTTGAAGGCCTCCACGACGGAGCACCCAGTGGGACCGTGTTTTGGCTGGCCTGTGGCCAGGGTAGATTCGCCTAGAGAAGCCAAGAGGATTCAGCGTGGGCCACGAAGAAAGAAACCAGGGCTACTCATCGTGAGCACCGTGGAGCATCCTGTGTCTTCAGAGGAAGACGATTCTCTACATTGTGTATTTATACCCCCGTGTGACAGTTTATATATTTATTTATGGTGGTGGTGATTATATATATAAAGCAGTGCATATGTATCCCTTCCCCTTTAATTTAACTTGCGTTATGGAACACACCCCTTGAAAGCCACTACTAACTTGGGGCCGGATACCCAAACTAATAACATCAGAGAAGATCCCGGCTTCTCGTAATCAAGCTCTGATTAGCTCCGGTATTCCTAAAGATACCCACTTCTACATCAAGTTGGCTTTCTTTACATACCCAATCTTTACTCATGAACGGCCTATACCGCTCGTTCAGTAAGTTCACTTTCTGTGGTTTGTCCTGGTATATATCAATATATTTATTTCAAGGGTCACATATGGCCAGGGTCACAACTCTCTTGCCCTGCCGACAATCTCTCATTATGTGACCCCCTCTGTTACACTTGAAACATCTCACTTGGAAAAAGTCTCTTCCATATGTACCAGAGTGGCTCTGACTCTGTCCACTTGCATGGGAGTTCCTCAGTCCAGATGAACCACTCGCACCCTGTGGGGCTTGACTGGACCCTTGTCTTCTTGGCACATTTTTATTTTCCTGCTTAACTTCTTCATCCTCACTTTCAGATGAAGTGTGCGACCTAATCTTCTGAGTTTCAGGACGCTTGCGATTACTCGCCCATCTATCAAAAGTTTTCACACCCCAGGCTCCCCTGGGTCTATCATAATTTCGTCCTCCCCAGACTCTACTGGGGAGGACGAAATTGATACATCTCGCTTCGCTTCTCACTCTGTTCTCCCTTAAGCTCTCGTATGCTAACATGCAACATAGCAATATACTTGCTAGCATATCAATAGACACTTTCAACGACCGCTGGGCACACGACCAACTACAAGCAATCACTATTAACTGGTTAAAATTGTGCTTGCCACAAAATTGTCTCTTGCGAGGGCGCTCACTCAATGACGGCTGACCAGGGCACTCCCACAGCTGCCCACGAAAATGTTTCTGGATGGCTTCACCACTCTTCCTGCCGTCCAGGACTTGAGCCCGCAACGTTTCCAGAATGATTCCACAGCTAAAACATCTGCACACTTCCTTCATCTTAAAGGTATATCAACTAGGGGGTTCTTCTCTAACAGGAGCTCAACGGAGCGCAACTTTCCTTCACGACTTCAGGTGCTCAAGTGGGAGTCAACGTCCTCAGAAACGAGCCTCACTTCCCCCCCCCCCTCCCAGCAAACTCTCCACATCTTATGACCAGTCATTTATTTATATCCTTGTTTACTGCCCATACTTGCAACCTATCTGTCAAATTTAATCGAATCGAGTATTTACTATATGAATATATAGGTCTATATCTCCTTAACCTCTTAGTTGGGTCAGACCTGGCAGAATAACTCTCAAGAGGAGACTCGTTTCTCATCTACCTGGGATCACAACAGCTATTACCCATGCAGCAGGGCCTCCCTCTTCATATTGCTAAAGTTTTCCAATGGAAAGGCAAACGCCAATATGCTTGGTTCCAACGCCAACGCCATACAAGCTCGAGCTCCGGATTTTTCCTCGAGGTTGACTCCTGAAGCCCGTCCCAGAAGTGAGTTACGGACCCGGACCCGGACAATGTTACGGACCCGGATCCAGCGTCCGAGCCTGGAGCAGTGACGACCACGCCATCTGTGGGTCAGCTCCCGAAACCCCCTCCAAATGGACGACGACACCTGGTGAGGACGAGGTGTACTGGCCTCGAGGCCAGTACAATGCACAATGCACTGCACAATGACAGCCCTCTTCATGACTGGAGAAATTGCTTTTTTGGAGAGCATGCAGTGATCCTTTACTGCTAGAATCCACTCAGTAAAACATCTAAGCTATTGAAATGTTAAATCTGAAAGGCTTAAATCTGTATTCTCTTGAGTGCAGGCGGGAGAGATTCATAATAATTCACACTTGGAAAATAGTAGCCGGGCTGGTCACACACCTGCACACAGAAATAACACAACATGAGACCAGGAGGAGTAGTGGGATGTACAGAATACCCCCATTGAAAAGCTGAAGTGCAATAGGTATTCTGAGAGACAACTCTATCAACATCAGAGGCCCGAGACTGTTCAACACCCTTCCACTACACATAAGGAACATAACTGGCCGATCTCTTACAGTGTTCAAGAGAGAGAACTTGACAAGCACCTCCAAAGGATCCCTGATCAATCAGGCTGTGACTCGTACATCAGGTTGCAAGCAGCCGAGTTCAACAGCCTGGTAGACCAGTGCAGCAACGAGGAGGCCTGGTAGACGACAGGGCCGAGGGGACGCTAAGCCCCGAAAACACCTCAAGGTAGTAGTTGTTGGGGGCAGCGGTTGTTTGTTGCTGGCGGTTGTGGTTGTTGGTGGCAGTGGTTGTTGTTGGTGGTTGTGGTTGTTGGTGGTAGTGGTTGGTTTTGGTGGTTGTTGGTTGTCGTTGTGGGTTGTGGTTGTTGTTGGTAGTTGTTGGTGGAAGTGGTTGTTGATGGTAGTGGTTTTTTTGGTGGTAGTGGTTGTTGGTGGTAGTGGTAGTTGGTTGATGTTGGTGGAAGTGGTTGTTGGTTCGTTTTCACGCACTTGACTTAGGTCATGATGGCTATCAGCGTCTGCTAGGTCTTTGGGTTTTAGTCGTTGTTTTTAGCCAATTAGTCGTCGAGGGAGCTAGCCCACCTCGACGACTAATTGGTGAGGGCTCCCAGCGGGTCTGCTTGTCTGGTTGCCTGGGGATCTGGCTTTTTCCCAGCTTACTGGGTTCGGGTTCCTGGTGAACTGGCAGAAGTCCCAGTTGGCTCCGTCCCAGGTTCAGACTTGGCTGGGTCTTGTGTTGGATTCTCGAACTCTGTCCTTCTCTCTCCCACCAGCGGCCTTACTCAGGTTGCAGTCCAGCCGTTGGCTGTTTTTTGGCTGGGGGACTCGTGTCACTCGGCGGTTGCTCGAGCAGCTGTGCGAGAGCATGAACTTTGTTCTGCTGGTTTATCCGCTGGGCAAGCTTTGGCTTCTGGTATCTTCGGGGCAGCCTCTTTCGGCACTCTGACGATCAATGTGTTAACCACACCCGGTGTCTCAAGGTCGGTTGCTGCGTCGCTGGCTTCTTCTTCAGGTTTTTAAGGGTTTGGTGCCATGGCGCCTTCCATTTCCCTCGCTCGATGTATTCACAGACCTTCACTACAATACTGTTGCCTGTGGGGTGAGGTTTTGTGCCCAGTGATCACCAGTCCGGCAAGGGGACAGTAGCAGCTGTCTCTGCGTCGAGCTCACACCACAGTGAGGGAGTTTGTGGCCACGTGGCTGATACTGCGACGACGGATTCGTCTTCATTCAGACTGCTCCCCAATGGTCATTGTCTCAGCCGGTGGGGGGTTCTGTTTGGTCCATGGTTCTTTGGGGCAGGTGGCTCTGGGTTGCTTTTGTGCTGAGTTTTCATGGCTTAGCTCTCTGCGCCGTTCGTGATCATTGAATGTACTATGTCCTGGCAGACGGCCTGTCGTACTTCGTTCTTCTTTCCACGGAGTGGGCGTTCTATACCACTTC